AAAACCACAAAGCAGCTAAAATGGACGCTGACACCTGTCAGTCTTGCAAGCTAAAACCACAGAGCAGTTGAGCAAAGCTGAACAAAACTGCAAGCCTGTCATGATTATGATGTTTGTTATAAGCCCATCATGATTCTAATGTTTGTTATAAGTCTATCATAATTCTACTACTTATAAGAATTATTGTTTATTGGATAACTTTTAAGTCTTTTTGCTAATTGGTTAATCATTTATACTTGTGTGTGATTTGTTAAGAGTAACCCCCCAAAAAAGAGTATAAAACCTGACAAAAACCCGGAAGAGGTGCTCAGAATTTGGAGACTTGTCTCCTCTGGGCCCGCTGGCTTAAAGAGATTAAACATTGACCCTCCAACTCTCTGCGTGCCGCTCGGTTATTCCCCTGGGACCGGTCACTGACACTTGCCGTAACATGACCTCAAGTGATCCTCCCACCTTGGCCTCCTGGAGTGCTAGGATCACAGGTGTGAGCCACCACACTCAGCCTTCATGTGCTTTTTGACATCCTTGTATCTTATTTGGCAAAGTATCTGTTCAAATCTTTTGCTCATTTAAACAATTATGCTATCCGTTTTCTCATCTTTGAGTTTTGAGAGCTCTTCGTGTAACCCAGGCACATTCTCCGCCAGTGTACGCCCTGCAAAGGTTTTGTCCCAGTTTGTGGAGTGTCTTTTCATCCTCTTAACAGTCTTTTGAAGAGCAAAACTCTTTAATTTTGTGAGGTCTGATTTATCAGTTTGTGCTTTTGTACGGGTTGTACTTTTGGTGTCTTTGCTAATAAATCTTTGCCTAATCCAAGGTCCCAAAGATTTTGTGCTGTGTTTTCTTCTAGAAGTTTTATAGCTTTAGGTTTTCTGTTCAGGTCAATGGTCCATTTGAGTTAATTTCTATATGTGGTGTGATACATGGATCCAAGTTCGTTTTTTGCATACGGATATCCAATTTTTTCTGGCACCGTTTGTTGAATGGGTTGTCAGTTTGCGCCTTTGTCAAAAATCAGTTGTCCATATATACGGTTAGGTTTATCTCTGCAGGTATTGTTCTAGATATTAAAAAAACTGATTCAAAAATTCACTTGGAAATGCAAAGGACCTACAGTATCCAATGCAACCTTGAAAAAGAGCAGAGTTGGAGGACTTGAAAATGATTTCAGGATTGATTATGAAGCTACGGTAACCAAGACAGCCCGGTGTTGGCACAAAGATAACAAACAGATCAATGAACAGACTAGAGACCAGACGTAAACTCATACGTTTGTGGACAACGGAATTTCACTCGGCAATAAAAAGGGATGAGCGATTGGCACACGCTAAACGTGGATGCACGTAAAAATAATCACGTGGAATTTAAGAAGCCGGACTAAAAGGTGCTGTTTGAGAATTCCGCTACAAATGAAACTCTCGAGCACATCGGCTAATGTGTAGTGACAGACGCTGATCAGTGGTTTCAGGGATGGAGGGGGAGTGGGGAGGGACAAAAGGGATTACAAAGGAAGGAGAGGATTTTGGGGGGAGATGGATTTGTTCATTTCATGATTTTGATGACGACTGCATAGGCGTATACATACGTGAAAACTTACCTAATCACGCACTTTAAATATATGCAGGTTACAGTGTATCAGTTATACTTGGATTTTTACCAAAGCGCCATAAGGAGCTTCCCTGACGCAGAAGGGAGAGGTGAAGAATACGAAGGGAGGGGCTTGGCACCGCAGACAGCGCGAGGAGGGAGGGGTTCTGCAGGGTCGGCTTCCAAAGTGGCGCTGGCGGACCTTCCGGAAACACAACACACAAGCAGGGTCACGGGTCTGAAAATGACTGTCACAGAAGTGGGGCCCAGACAAAGACCGTGGGCCTCACCCGCACGGAGGTGATGTGGGACAGTAGGACGAGAAGCGCTGAGGGGCCTCCGGGACATCAGAGTTTAATGTGTCAGTGCGGGACACGGCTGACAGTACTTGAGCAGGGGAGTGACGACAAGCCCTCAGACACCCTCCTGCAGACGAGGGTTTCGTCCACTTTTTCCATCAGGCTATAAAAATGACAGTTCGAAGTGTTCAGGACTGGCAAATGCCCTAACAGAAAAAGTCACTGTGGGGAGCACCTCTCTCTCTAGGTTATCACTTTACCTTCGGTCTTGGCTTGTTAATTCTTTACTGTCTCGTCAGCTCTTTGGTGCTTTCCAGGAAATATATATATTTATTTTTTTGAGACAGAGTCTGGCTCTGTTGCCCAGGCTAGAGTGTGTGGCGTCAGCCTAGCTCACAGCAACCTCAAATTCCTGGGCTCAAGCAATCCTCCTGCCTCAGCCTCCCGAGTAGCTGGGACTACAGGCATGCGCCACCATGCCCGGCTAATTTTTTCCATTTTTAGTTGTTTGGCCAATTTCTTTCTATTTTTAGTAGAGATGGGGTCTCGCTCTTGCTCAGGCTGGTCTCGAACTCCTGAGCTCAAACTATCCACCCACCTCGGCCACCCAGAGTGATAGGATTACAGAAAATATTTTTAAAGTTGTATTTTTCACTGTTTTCACGGGGGATTTAGATTCAAATAATCTAACCTGACTTTATGTTTTTTATTATTATTAATTTTATTGCAAAGGGCAGATCTAGCTAGCATTTACCAACTTTCAGCCCTTTCGCTCTGGACACGGGAGGACAGACCTCCCTGTTCACCAGGAACAGGGAGGCCATGAGGCCGGTTCAAGATGCTGGGCTGTGAGCGGAGGTCACGTGTGTGGCTCTTACGGGCTGAGACCCTCACACGCTGCTCCCCCGTCACTGTCACTGAGGAGACGTGTGCTTCGGGTGGAACAGCTGCGAGATCGCGGGGATCTCTGTCAGCCAGGGTCCCCGAACGGCTACGGGGAGATCTCTGCCCTGCAACCCACAAGACATGCACAGAATTGCTGAGCACTGAGAGTCTGGGGTTGGTTTTTTTTGTTGATAAAACTCATTTACCATATGCATGAATATCATATATAGTCATTTACCATTAAACTCTATTTCGCGAATAATCAAATCACTAAACTCTTTTACTAAATTAACAGAAACAGGCCACCAGATATTATATACACAGAGAACTTTTCAGACTGTTTTAACGATTATTGAACAGCCACAAATTCCTCCCATTCCTGCATGCTCTTGCTTTGGAGTTGCTCTGGCCGATAGAACGTGGAGAAAATGATACAGGGAAAGTTCTGGAGCTTAGGTCTCAGGGGCCTTGCTGCTTCTCACTTTTCCTCCTGGGGTGCTGCGTGAGCCCGCCAGGTGAGGAAGTGACCCAGCCTGGTAATGGTGGGAGGATGCTCTGCAGAGAACCAGGGTCTCCAGCCAACAGCCAGCATCAGCCGCCAGACGTACTGGGCCACCGGGGGCCTCCCAGCCCCGACCTCCCACTGAGTGCAGCTCCGTGGAGAGACCCGCGCAAGGCCAGCTCAGCTGCTCCACAAAACCGCGACCACCTACAGCTCATTGCTGGGTTAGGCCACTGAGGCATAGCAAAGGCCAACAGAGACAAATGTTACCTATTAAACTTCCTGAGCTTCTTCCTGAGTTTCTTCACTGCCAAGTGGAAAACAATATCTTTTACACAGATGTTAGTGAAAATTAAGTAACACAAAGAACGTGAGCTGTGTAAGTGGCTGGCGCTGTGATGAGTACGTGGTGAGGGCTAAATAAAGGAAAGCTGTCACGTAAACTTTTAAAGCTGACACGCTCGTTAGTTTTTATTCTTGCAGGTTAAATCCCTTTTCCTTCGACTTCACCTTGCTTGAGAAGCCTTCCTGGCGATTTATAACTCGTACCTCCACCAAATTACCTTCCTGTGACTACTGTCCCTGTTTTGTTAATGTCCCTCCCAAAATATTAGTAGTGCGATAGATGCAATCTGATCATCGCCTATACAACGGGACGGTTACCCTCAGGAACCATGCTTTGCACACAGTAGGAGCCAAAACAATATTGTTCTTTTTTTTTTTTTTTAACCTAGCCCAACTCAGGCTTCCTTCGCTTGGCTCAGGCGTCCCTGGTGTCGCACACTCGGCCTGACGTTCACTCTCACCCTGCCGGCCCTGACCGGGCCACTCCGAGGCCAGGCTCCGGCCCCGGACTTGTGCAGGTGTTTCCCTGGAACTCAATTTGGGCCTTAACATTGAACTTGCATAAATTCCTTTTCATTAGCCTCGGCCTAGCCCTCCAGCGGGCCAAGGTAATCCTGGTGCCACATCTGTCATTTGTCCCTTCCCGTGGTGCATCTAGAGCAGATAATCGTTACTTCCCTGTTTTCCATCAGGGACTGAAAAACAGTGTTACGGCATAGAGCCAGGGAAGGAGCTTCCAGGACACGGCCGGGCACCTGTTCCAGGCCGGCGGTGCTGAGGACGCAACGTGCGGACCTCGCCGCGGGCCGCCGTCACGCACCCTGGCGGGTTAACCGCGCACACGTGCCCGCGGAGGCCCACGAGGGCAGCAGGATTCCTTGCTAGGCTCGGATCCCCCACGTCTTCTGGAAAATTCTTTCCCCATTAGCGACGTCAGTCTGAGTCTCCCCCAGTCCGGCCAAGGAAAAGCCGAGGGGAGGGGGCGTCCGCGGATAAGGCGGCAGATCAGCGTCGTCCGCTCTCCGCGCTCTTACGAGGTCAAAGTGAAAAGAGGACGGCTTTGCGAGCAAAGAGCTTTGCAACGAGTCCAGACGGCCGGAGCCTCCGACATCGCCGAGGGGGACGCGACTCGCAGCGCGTTTGCTCCTGTCCCCCCCTCCCAGGGCCCGTGTCGCCGTCGCCGCCCCGCGCGCCTTTCCGCCCCGGCGAGCTGGGAACGCGGGAGCGGCCTTGGGCCCGCCGGGTCCGCGCGCACTTGGGGGCGGGGCGGTCCGGGGGCGTGGCCCCTCCCCGCCAGCCAGTGCGCACGCGCGGGGCGGGGACTCGGCCACTCCCGAGCGCGCCTGCGCGCCGAGCCGCCCGCCCTCCCGGAAGCGCCCGCCCGCTCGCGCCACGTCGGTTCCCGCAGCTGCCCTTCCCCCCCATTCCCCCTCCGCGAGGGCGCAGCGCCAGAGCCGCGGCCCGGCGAGCGGACCGGACCGGACCGGACCGGGAGCGCCATGGGCGGCCCGCGCCCCGGCTGCGCGCTGCTGCTGCTGCTGCTGCTCCTCCGGGCCGGGCAGCCGCGGGGCGCCGAGCTCACCTTCGAGCTGCCGGACAGCGCCAGGCAGTGCTTCCACGAGGACGTGGACCAGGGCGCCAGGTTCTCCCTGGACTACCAGGTGGGCGGCGGCGGCACTGGGCGCGGGGCGGCGGCGGGGCCCTGCCGTAGGGAGAGGCCCGGCTCCCGCACCGTCCCTCCGGGAGCGCTCGTGGGCCGCAGGTCTTGGGGGAACGAGCAGACCAGGGCAGGGCCCGAGCGGGCGTCGTACCGGCCCCCTGCGTGCCCCGCGCGGGCACCCCGCGGTGGGGGCCTGGGCAGCGGAGTGGGGCGGGCTGTCGGCCACCGCCTGTGGTTGGAGGCCCTGGGGAAGGCCTGTGCCCGGGACAGCTTCAGGTGTGACTAAAAAAACAGCGATGGCTGTGTGGCCGGAAGGCACGGCGATGGCATCCTGTCATTTCCAGGGCAGAACCCCTGTCGGGCACCAGCATGGTCCTGAACACCCCAGCGGCAGATGCTCCCGGCTTGTGCAAACTTGCCGAACAGGACCGGTGGCTTTTGCCTGGACGGGGGACATTTTAAGTTTGGCAGCAGATGGAGGCCGCTGACCATGCTTCGATGGGCCGTGGGTGTGGCTGTTGGCTACCCGTGCGGTCTTGCTGTGTGCAGGTCTTACTTTTCATACGTGTACACGGGGAGTTCGAACTAAATGGTTCCCGAGGACTCGCCCACCCCTGGCTGCCCAATTCTGTGCATGTTTCCCTCTGTGTTTATCTTCTCCCTGCGTTTCCGTCAGTGATAACGTTACTAACGGTTACTAGACCCGCCCTGCACGCCGGGAGGGGCGTGCTCGGAGCTGCGGTTTCTTAATGGAAGGGAGAACCTGTGTGTAGCACGGCTCCATCTGCTCTTGCTCCGGGAGGCCCTCAATCCGATCCCACCTCCCCATCACCCCCGGGGGTCAGTTTGCGGCCTGCGGGTTTCCAGTGATTGGCCGGCACTTGGTGGGCGCTGGCCGCGTGTGCAGAGTGCTTTAGATGTGACACCCCACGGAGTCCTCGCCTCAGCCCTGCGGGGTAGGTCCTGCTGTCTTGTAGGGGAACACACATCCTCAGAGAGTAAAGTAACCTGTCCGGAGTCACATAGCTAGTGGCGGCAGTGCCCTAGAGAGGCGACCTGCTCCGTGTCTCGTGTTAACTGCTGCACACAGAGAGAGAAGCGGTGCCGTCCAGTTGCCTTGGGACGGTTCTTTGGGCGTCCCTGCCTTCGTCCTGCTGCCGATCCCGGAAAGCCTCATCGGCCCATCCCACGAGGGGTGGTTATCCTGGGCACGCTCACGGCACAGCAGAACGGTGCAGTGGTTAAGTGTGGGCATGGGAGCCAGCAGCCCTCAGGTCAAACCCCAGCTCTACCACTTTCCCTGGAGCCTCAGTTTTCTCTCCTGTAAAATGGGGAGAATTAGGCTCGTTGTTCTCCTGCAGAGCCAGACTTTGGAGCCAGGCAGACGCAGATTCACATCTAGCCTTTTCACTTGCGAGCAGTGTGACCGTGGCTGATTGACGTAACCTGTCCCAGCCCCAGGAGAGTGGGAAGGAGCAGAGCAGCTGCCGTAGCAGGTTGCGAAGCTCCAACGGCGGAAGCATTGCAGAGTGTGGCCGCGGCGTCTGGTCGGCGTTTGGTGGGTGGGGGCTGCCCCCCGATAACAGCGAGCGTTCTGTGGTTGCCAGGTCATCACCGGAGGCCACTACGATGTTGATTGCTACGTGGAGGACCCCCAGGGCAACGTCATCTACCGGGAGACCAAGAAGCAGTACGACAGCTTCACGCACCGGGCTGCGGTCAAGGGCGTCTACCAGTTCTGCTTCAGTAACGAGTTCTCCACCTTCTCGCACAAGACCGTCTACTTTGACCTCCAAGTGGGCGACGAGCCCCCCATCCTCCCAGACATGGGGCACAGGGTCACGGCTCTCACCCAGGTGAGTGGACAGTCACGGCCACAGGCCAGGAAGCCCCCGCCGCGTTGCTCCTCTCGGCCTCTGTCTCGGCTGCTGAGCAGTCGCCCCCGCCCACCCCCACTGCTGGTCTGGAAGCCCCGTGTCGGCTCTGCCTCTGTCTCCACGGCCCCTCGGAGGACGCCGTGTTCTCCTTCCCGTCCTCCTTTGCGATTGTTCGCCAGCGCCCTGCGGTGCTCTCCTCTGACACCCTACTCTGCCCCTCTGCACCCACGCGGTCTCTCCCCTGGCGCCACTTCCCAGGTCCCTGTGCCACGTGCCTCTCTGCTTACGTGACGTGCCCGTGTCCTCCATGTGCCGCGTGTGAGTGAAGGCAGCACAAGCTGCCGTAACAAGTGCACTCCGCGTGTCGAAGGCTCAGCACAGTGGAAGTTGTTCTCATACCCCAGAGAAGGCTGGTGGGCGCCTCCTCCGCGGTGACTCGGGAATCCGGGATATGTCTTTCGTGTCGTCCTCCTGCCTTCGCTTGGGCTTCGGAGCCTCCAGCTCTGGCCACCGGAAGGAGGAGGGGTGAGAAAGGCCGGCCTGCTTCTTAGACGCCGGGCTCCGTGGTCACACAGGTCACCTCTGCTCACGTGGCATTGGTGGCAACCAGCCCACGTGGCAGATCCGGGCGCAGGGAGGGCTGGCGGACGTGGTCCCGCCTGGGCAGTCGTCTCCTAGCCACAGCGCCACACGATGGAGGAGGAATGTGACACTTTGGGGCGACAGGCAGTCCTGCAGAGGAGTGGGCGTGTGGCCCCCTCGGAGGCAACCCGGAAGGCGATCAGGCTCCTTGGAGACTGGCACGAAGACCCGCGGCTCCCAAGTCGTTACTGCCTGATCCCAGCCTCCCGCACCTGCCTTCCCTCCCGCGGGCAGGCCGTGAGCTTCCGGGGCTGGGGTTCTGGGTGCGTTGCCTTTGTGTGCTCAGCGCCCCGGAGCAGGAGGCGTGGCACAGAGAGGAGCTCACCACGTCATTGTTGTCGTGTGACCGAGTGTCAGGGCCCAGGGAGACCTGTGAGACAGGTGTTTGTTCCAGACAGAGCCGGGGCGTCTTGGGTCTTCAGGGAGGCCAGGTTACCTTCCGGGTTGCCCTCCGAGGGGGCCGTACGCGCACTCGCACACTCCTGCGGCTTCCTGGGCCCCGTCTGCCGCCCTCCCTGAGCAGGTGGAGCTTAGGGCTGCGTTGTCGAGTGCAGTAACCACTGTCTACGTTTGGCTGTTTCATTAAAATTAAATTAAAAATTCACAGCCTCGTGCACTATAGCAACATTGCAAATACCCGGTAGTCACAGGTTTGTAGAGGCCAGGCACAGACGGTTCCACTGGACAACGCCAGGTTTGAGCCTCGCACCGTGCTCAGAGCCAGCGACAGATGCACGTCGTGCCTAAGACCTTCCGCAATTGACGGTTCTGTCGGCCTCCGATGAAATAGCTTCCATGTTGGAGGTTCTGTAAGTCTCTGAAAGCCGAGCTGAAGGACTTCCTTCTTTCACTGTAGACAAAGAGCTGGCAGAGAAAAGGCTTAAGGAATCTGGTCCACAGGGAGACGTTTCCTGGAGCCTGAGCGTGGAGTTCGATTTGTTGCAGGGAAGAGTGAGTTATGCCCCCTCCCACCTCTCAGAACCTCTTCTCCACTCCGCTCGGCCTCAAAGAGGCGTTTTCTCCCTCATCTGCAGCGTGGACCCCTCTGCCCTGATCTGGCTGCACCTGCCGTCGGGAGCTGCTCACCTGGGCTGGCGTTCGCTCAGTCACACCCTGGGCCGGGAGAGGAAAGGCAGGTGGAAGGTGCTGGAAGGCGCTGTCCCTGGCGGGGAGTCCTTAGAGAAACGCAGCCCTGGGAGCCGGTTGCCCGCGGGGCGCTATGGCCACAGCTGAGGTTGAGGGTCAGGGGTCTCAGGCACTGACGGATTCTTCTAGGAGGGTCAGGAAGGCTTCATGGGACAGCTTTAGCTTAAAAGTGACAGTGGGGGGGTTGCCCGGGAGCTCGGCCTCCCAGAGGAAGAGAACAGGTGAGATTCAAGGGTTATAACCTTGCACTCCTTTCCCCGCCCTTTTTGTTTTGGGGGGGGATCCCCTTTGAGCAGCTGCTGTCTCCCTTCCCCCAGCCCCTTGCAGCTCCGTGGTGGGCCAGAGGCCACGAGTTTTGGCACCAAAATAAATACTAAAGTGTAAGAACAGGATCCGTAATGACCACGGCCCGGCCGGGGGTTTAGGCCAGCAGATGGCGTCAGCCCCGAGTTCAGAACTGGTTCCCCGGAGAGGACGTGGGCCGGGACCACGCTGCTCCAGGGCAGCCGGGCTGGAGGCGCCCTGGCTTCCTGGGAACACAGGCGGATGCTAGCGGAGGCTGTGGGTTTCTGGCCGAGGTCAAAGGCCAGGGGCTACCGCAGCGGTGGTCTGGGCAGGATCAAAGTTTTCCCGACTGCTGCGAGGCCAGCTCACGGCCCCTGCCTTCGGGTTCTTGCGGGATTCAAGGAACTGGGCACTTTGACCACCGGGGCCTGATGAGGTGGGTGCCGGAGGAGTTTGTCAGCGTAGGCAGACCGAAGACCTCGGCTTCAGCGGGTGGCGGAGACAGGGGCGTCAGTGTGGGGATGGGGGAAGGGACGGTGCCCCGGAAAAGGGGTGAGTCGGGGTGACTCAGAGACCAGCTGTCACGATGGGGCAGTGACCACAATCCCTGTGAGGCTCTAGGACCCTGGGTGGTCCTGGCGGGGCAGATGGTCACACGCCAGGAGGCTGGGGACCCCGGCCCCGGGGAGACAGGGCTGCAAGGCAGAGGCTCTGCTGGTTTCCTGCGGGGTCGGGGGTAGCCTGGGGTTGCCCCACCGGAATTCTGTGGTGCAGGCTGTAGGGTTTCCTTTTAGACTAGGGCCGACGGCCGATCTCTGTGGGTGGGTAAATAGCGTGTTTCTGTGGCCAGGGCGGGTGTCCGGGTGCCTGTGGTTCTCGGTGATGTGTTGCTTTGGGGTCTCTGGGGGCCTGTGCCACGTCCTGCGGGTCTGCAGGTCGTAGGTGCCAGGAAGGCTGTGGAGTAGCACCTGCCACTCTGTCACCTGGGCACCTGCCCCTTGCCCATCGCTGATCTGATGTGAGATTGTTCCTTTAAAGGCCCGGGGCCTTGTCCTGTGATTTCAGGGCTGGTTTCTGGCCTGTGGCGTCTGATCCAGGCCTTTGCAGCGGTGCCCACATGGGCGTCTGGCTTCTCCGCAGTCGGGGGCCTGCACGTGTGGTGCTGGGTCCTCCCCTGTCCTCCTCCTCCTCCCCTCTGGGTCCCGGGGAAGCTGGGCTTGACGACCGGTTCTGCCGCGCTCCCGGGCCAGGGCCCAGAGCCCCCAGCTGGACACTGGGTTTCTGAAGGAGCTTGTGATAGGAATAGACTTGGAGAACGGGGTTCTGGCCTGGACAGCCAGATGAGCCCCTTGCTAGTGTTTAAAAACAAAGGCTCTGGATTTTTATATGTAAAACGTGTGTGTATGTGTGTGTGTATGCATGTGTGTGCACAAATATACATGTGTTTCTCCATCCCTCCCACGAATTTCAATAATGATCTGCTTTGTGACCAATCCTCCGACTTCAGCACCCCAAGTCTCCCCCGAACCCATTCTTCCCTGACGGGCAACCTGCTTAACTGTGCCCTCATCTTCTCCTGTGAGCAGAATCGCGGCCACCTGAGCGGTTTCCCCGCCTCCCGACTGGCTCACTTACTGCCTGTCCACGCCGTGGCCCCCAGGGACTCCGAGCGTGCCACGCCGCTGCTCACGGCTGCGTGATGAGGTCTTGACGCTTTACCCCGAGCTTCCACCCGCCCCCCACTTCTTCCCCACACCCCCCCAGGTTGGTCCCTGATCCCAGGCCGGACCCCACGCAAGCTCCTTGCCCCGGCCCTGCTGCCCGCGTACGTCCCGTCCCCAGCCCGGTGTGCCCAGCAGGGCCAGCGTGTCGCGCCCCAGGTCACGTCCTCTGTTGCCGCCGGCAGAACGAGCAGCTTTTCCTGGGTGTTCCCCCGACTGCACCCCCCTCTGTTGTCGGCTGTTTTCACGTCGTCGTGTTGCAGCGATTAACTTTTCCTTTACATCGTGAGCTCTCTGAGACCCGGCACCGGGTCTGGAGCTCATCCTCAGCGCCCTGGGCCAGCTCCTATGAGCAGACATTTCGTAAACGTTCAGATGAGTGAAACCGAGCCTCTTGCAACTGTGGGGAACAATTCCTGTGGACGCATTTTACGCATCTCTCTCCTGCGTCCTCCTAGCCCCACCTTGGGTGACCGTGACCTTCCGGGGATCACCAGGTGACGTCCGTGTGGCGCTGATCCGACTCGCAAGTTACCTGCGTTGTGGTCGCAGGTGGTGCCTGGCAACGCCGTCTCTGCAGCCGGCTTTGACCCCGTTCACACGGTTCGAGCCTGACTCCAGGCTGTGACCTTTTCTAGCTCCTTCCCAGTTTGATCCCCATTCCAGCTCCGTGACCGCGGACGTGCTCTGGTGACTTTGGAAGCAGCCGCCGCGCTCGCCGCGCTGCCGCAGCACAGGGTCTGCGACCAAGCGGTCTTGGATCTCTCGTCCCTCTGCCAGTGTCAGACACCTGTGCGTACAGCCCGCCTGACAAACGTGGGGAAGCGAGGAAGCCTGGCGCCGACTGACGCGGTCACGAGAGCGCGCAGCCCGAGACAGTAGGGCCTGTGGGACGTCCCTGAGAAAGCAGGTCAGGGACCCCCTGGGGGGCAGCGGGGAGCACACACAGGCTGATTCTTCACTGCATTCTCCTCGAGTGGGTGCCCCGTCCTCCCCCGTCTGTGTGATGCACGGGGACCCTGTGACCTTTCACCCGTGCGGCGTGTCACCACTTCTGCCCCTGGATCGGCGTGCGAGGCCAGTCACCACGTGCAGAGGAAAGAGTCTGCTTTTTCTCGTTCAGGTTGTGGGTGGGGTTCGGTTCCTCGTGGCCGTGGGACTGAGGCCCCGTTTTGTTGCTGACCTCCGCGTGCCCTGGTCCCGGCAGGTGGTTGTCCCCACCCGCAAAGCCAGCATGGCACGTGGACATCTGCTCTTGCTCCGACTCTGTCCGGATGCTTCTGCAACCAGCTAGAGCAAGCCCTGCTTTCCAGGGCTCGTGCGACTGGCCCAGGCCACTGGGTGATCTCCCCGTCTTTAGGTGAACTGTGCCGTGTGACGTCATTTATCACAGGAGTGGCAGCGCCCCATAGTCACAGGTTCCTGGGATCAGGGCAGGGAATCTGGGCGGTGGTGGGGGTGCGTTTCGGAATACTGCCTGCCACGCCGAATCCTTAGCAGGTAAAGGAAGTCGTGAAGTAGTGTGTTACGTATGAGCACGTGTGTGCATGTTTGTGTGTTTGCATCTTTGCATGTGTTCCTGTGTGTGTATGAAGACACGCATGTCTTCATGTGCTTGTGTTTCTGCGTGAGACAGTAGACAGCAGTCATGTAATGGAGTTGCAGTAGGTTCAGAGTTCAGCACATTCGGGTCTGGCTCACACTCCGCCGCTTATTAGCTGTGTGAGCTTGGGCAGTTCACGTAGCATCTTTGAGCCTCAGTTTCTTCGTCAGCGTATGGGGAAAGCAGCCCGCCCTTCCGTAATGGAGGTGGCGGCCCGCGCCTGTTCGCGCCATTGTGAGCCTTCGATGGGAGAACCCAGAGCAGTGCTTGGAAGCAGAGGCTCAGGGCTCGGACAGTCGAGTCCCATCCTGCTCGGCCACATACTGTGTGACTCTGGGCAAGTTACTTAACTTCTCTGAGCCTCGGTTAGGCTTACCATAAGGATTAAATAAAACCGCATTAAATAAAACCACTTAGCGCAGACAGTAGCATTCGGTGGACGTCGCGGAGGGTGTTGACGATGACGCTTGCTGTTTGCCGGATTCCACTCTTCTTACCTTGGCGTTGGCTACGCGCCTGCTTTTGTCTCCCTGCGCAGATGGAGTCTGCCTGCGTGACCATTCACGAGGCCCTGAAGACGGTGATCGACTCCCAGACGCACTACCGGCTGCGGGAGGCCCAGGACCGGGCCCGGGCTGAAGACCTGAACAGCCGGGTCTCCTACTGGTCTGTCGGCGAGACGATCGTCCTGTTTGTGGCCAGCTTCGGCCAGGTGCTGCTGCTGAAAAGCTTCTTCACGGAAAAGCGACCCATCGGCAGGGCCGTGCACTCCTAGCCCGGCGTCCTGCTGCTGCCCCGCACCCCCCAGGTGGCAGCTGTCCTGGGTCACGGGCTGCGGGGCTGGGAGCCGCGGTGGGAGAGCGCAGGGCGGTGGGTGCTGCGGCAGCGTCTCGTCTTCCATGCAGGCGCCAGGTCCTTGCACCCCGGCAGCCGAAGCTCAGGGAGCCCAGCAGTTTGAAGGCATCCGATTGCATTACATGTGCAACACGAAACACGTTTACAGCTGGTTAGGGATTGGCCACTGTGGGAGGGCGGGCAGGCAGAGATCCTGTGGCCTGGCTGGTAGGAGGAAGCCCAAGTGCCCAGGCCTCCGGGGCAGCTGAGGGCCCTGCCTCTGCTCCCTGATGCCTGGGTCGTTGGGCTTGTGCGTCCTGGCCCGTGTGCGGAGCAAAGGGCTCTCGGTTCTAGCCTTTCCTGCCGTGGGGCTCGTGTACCCGAGGAAGCGAGACCCTAAAGTGGCTTTGCAGCTCTGCCCACCCCAGGCGAGCGGCGGTGTCAGCCATGCAGGCGGGGCCCGGACGGTGATGGGCACCTTCAGTTAGCTGTGTGTTTCCCCGGGGGCAGAACGGTGGCTAATAAAATCTAAGTGTGAGCACCCCGGAGACCTGAGCCTTTCTTTCTTTGCCCTGAAGGAGCTCCCAGCTTAGCAGCGAGCACGCCGTGTGCGTAAATAATTAGCGGAAAAAACAAACCCGGAAAAGCCCCGGGCCGGCCACCGGCAAAACCGGGCCCCGGCCCCGGAAAAGCCCCCCCCCGGTGAACGAGAGCCGTGAGACAGGAAGTCTCCTTGCCGCTCCCGTCGCACGCCGGGCGGTGCAGAGGGTCTGTGCGAGCGCAGTTGCTCTGTGAGAACACCCTGTCTCACACCTGCCGACCCGCCCCGGCATGTCCCTCCCACCAGACGTGGCGTCTGGGCCCCTACCCACTCTATTCAGGACGGCACCGTCTCGCCCGCCCCCGTCCTCCTCGCCGGTTAGTGAGCACTCGGTGCGTGCCGACCGAGCGTCCGCGCACTGGGGCTGGAGGGTCGGCAGGTACGTTTGCCCCAGAGGGGGCCGGCCGAGAAATCTGGAATCCCGAGCTGGCTGGCAGAGGTTAGCAGCGCGTTGTGGGAAAGGGAACAAAACAATCCCGTTATAAAGATGCCCCGTAACCCTTATTTGCCTTGATGAAAGGATAAATGCTGCTTACCTTCGAAAGGTTGTTTTTTTTGATATATATTTTTTATTTCTGCATATTATGGGGGTACAAATGTTTAGGTTACGTATATTGCCCTTGCCCCTCGCCCCCCCAGTCCGAGCTTCAAGCGTGTGCATCCCCCAGGTGGTGCACATCGCACTCATTATGTTTCTATATACCCATTCCCTCCTCCCCCCTCCCATCTGCTCGATAAATGTTACTACTGTATGTGCACTTATGTGTTGATCAGTTAATACCAATTTGATGGTGAGTACATGTGCTTATTTTTCCATTCTTGGGATACTTCGATTAGTAGAGTGGGTTCCAGCTCTAGCCAGGAAAATACAAGAGGTGCTATATCGCCATTGTTTCTTAAAGCTGAATAGTACTCCATGGTATACACATACCACATTTTATTAATCCACTTATGTAT